GGGGGGGGGACGTCAGGGCACCACATGTGACATCTCACTGCGGTCGAACTTGGCAGTGGTTGCTGACCGTCGTGGATGCAGTCGGCATTCTCAGTCCATGCAGACTGGCCACCGTAACCTTCTGATTTTCAGCTTGGGATTGTTTCAATTTCGATGAATATGCCAACGCGGAGCGATGAAACGAAGGTCGCGGGCCTGTTCCAGCTTCCGCACTCGATGGTTAGCAGTTTGCTCTTTCTAGATTGTTGTATTTTCGCGAGCGAAGCAAAACTGGCACTGCTGCTCTGCGCTCAGAGGTGATGGAAGCAGAGCGAGTCCGGTTCACTTCGCACGCATTGGCCTTAGCTTGGTTGTTTATGACGGCTTGAGACTAGGCCCCGCAAAAATGCGTGGGCCGATCTTTCGGATCCGTTTCCGCTGGTACATCCGGTCGCTCCACGATTCTTTTGTTTGTTTCGCTGGTAAATGCGTATTGGCGTATTTCCGGGTGACAGAACTGCTGTCAGCTTGCTTTTGCGCTATTTTGTGAGTGACTCCACCGGCACGTCTGATGGCTGATAAAAGCGCTCCGCTGTAGGCGTTGATGAAAAAGACAGTGCTTTTCGGGGATTGACTTACAGGCCCTGGACAACTTGTTCCCTTTTCTTAATCCATTTTTTTACAGTCGAATGTCCATTTTTTTTTTTACAGTTAAGACAGTAACCGCGTCTGGTCAGGTTTTGCATTCATCTTTTGGGCATAGCCGTCGAAAATTTTTTAGCATAAAATTCGTACGAGACTGAGATCGGCTTCGAATCGCTATTATCCATGTGGTGGGTCGATGCACTTTACTCCGAATCGAAATCGCAAGGGAACGCCGTATCACTGGGAGGAAGATTGGAAGCATGGACTGGCCTGCAGGACGCTGTTAAAAGATGTCCTGGCAGCCATGCATTGTACAATGCTGATGTGTCGACCAGGGCTTTATGTAAGTTGAGGATGACTGTGATTGATTTCTTCTTGTAAGTATTGAACGAATATAGTGACAAGCGTATGCACTGTATCTGATTTAAAGCAAGCTCGTGATATTTACAGTGGATGAATTTCAGTGGGAAGGGCTAAAAAAGAATTTAACTGGCGTTTGTTTGCGATTAGCATGAGGCCTAGAGAGAGGCAGACCGAAGGATAACAGACTTGTTAATGTGGGTTAACCAGCAAACATTTTCAAATTTTTGCACGAAACTTCAAATGACCCTAATGATCAGGGTCCAAGAAATTATGGTTGAGGAGTACTTCGCTCGCTTCAAAGAAATCGGACTGC